TCCTTTCCAACCAAGTGTTTCTGTGATTCTGATTCTGTGATCCTGGCCTAGGACTTATCATCATTCACTGAAATACATCATTACTTTGATGATCATCAGACCTTTGAACTCAGAGGAGTGTTTGCTTGAGGTCGGTTACTGCACAGGATAGCCACTGCAGCCATTCAACATTTGCCTTCAATATGCTCTTTCCTTTTTTTTTTGTTTTGGCATAAATTCTACCATTTTACCTGCCACTTCTTAGCAGACTCTTGCAGCCTGCATCCCAGTACTGCTGAATTATGTTCCTGTCTTCCTCAAGTTCACCTGTCTTTGCCTTATTTCTATGAAGGCCGAGTGCTTTCCTGTTCCCTAAGTGTCAACACTGCCTCTCTTTCCACACTGAAATAGCAAGTCCTATTCAATATGCTTTTTGGCTGGACTCTGTCCCCAATACCATCCTCAGCACTGCCTCCACATGCCCTATTACCTTATTTGTCAGGCACTACTCAGCTTGACATTGTGGAGGTTAGATTGCAATCTGATAATGCTCATGCATTTTGTTAACAGTCAAAACAGTCAATGTCATGGGGCCCATAACTAATTTGGGTTGGGTTTTTTATTACCACTTATACAGGCTCAGAAGACACAAAAAACACCTCAAAAACCAGCCCCTGCAGTGGTTTCAGTTGCACCAGCTGTGAAGGATCCGTTGGTCAAGAAGCCAGAAATTAAGTTAAAACCTGAGACCCCACCAACTTTTCTAGCATTCAAGAGAACAGAAGTCAAGGTAATGTAGTTTAAATTTTCCAGAGGAAGAGTTTGTGTTTTACTGCATAGATTATGATATTTTCAAGTAGACCAATCTTTTCTCACAAGAACCGTGAATGAAAATAGTTTGCTATACTGTGTGTACTGAGTAGTATTATAGCATAGTGGTTTTGCATTAACACTAAGAGAGAGGGGAGGGAAAAAAACATCAATTCAACTATAAGTCACTAAAGCATCCAGCTCTTGACCGTGTTTTTATGTTACAAGGGAGAGAACAGAACTTACTGCACAGATATTTTTTTTTTAATGCTATTTTATACAAATAGAAATCCTCATAAATGTGCACTGGCAGTTGCATCCTGGGCCACATCCAAAGCAGCGTGGCCAACAGGTTGAGGGAGGTGATTCTGCCCCTCTGCTCCACTCTCATGAGACCCCACCTGGAGTCCTGTGTCAAGCTCTGGAGCCCCCAGCACAGGAAAGACGTGGACCTGTTGGAGCGGATCCAGAGAAGGGCCACAAAAATGATCAGAGGGATGGAACACCTCTCCTGTGAGGACAGGCTGAGAGAGTTGGGGTTGTTCAGCCTGGAAAGAGAAGGCTCCAGGGAGACCTTACTGCAGCCTTCCAGTACTGAAAGGCAACCTACCGGAAGGATGAGGAGTGACTCTTTATCAGGGAGTGTAGTGATAGGACGAGGTGTAACGGTTTTAAACTAGAAGAGGGTAGATTTAGATTAGATATTAGGAAAAAATTCTTTACTGTGAGGGTGGTGAGACACTGGAGGTTGCCCGGAGAGGTTGTGAATGCCGCCTCCCTGGAAGTGTTGAAGGCCAGGTTGGATGAGGCTTTGAGCAACCTGATCTAGTGGAAGGGCTCCCTGCCCATGGCAGGGGGGGTGGGACTACATGATCTTTAATGTCCCTTGCAACCCAAACCATTCTATGATTCTATGAATTGTATAAAAGAGGTGATTTGCTCTCTGTGGTCAAGTAATATATGCATATTTTGATAGTTAGAAGTATTCTTCTCATGATAATAGGGAACTTCTACTTGACTCTGTGAGATCTAATTTATGAGGCTGCTTCTTATACACGTTGCCTCATGTTTCTGTTTCTCCAAGTTATTTAATAAATACTGCCATAAATTGGTCAAAGGTGGTAAACCAGAAGCAGCGTAATAAATAACATAGTAGTCTACGAAAGCATGACCCTTACCTAGGGAAACACATCTTTAACTCAGAATCAAAGCAATTATTCATGTGCTCAAAGTTTTGTTTGCCATTGCTCTGCCTGGATGCAAACCATCATGAATAATATGATGGCTATTGCTCAAGCACTTACACTTGTGAATAACTTTTTTCACCTCAGCACAATTATTTATGTGCCTAAACACGTTGTAAGAATGAGGCCTGGTTTCATCTATCATCTTTACTGTTTAGAAACTGTCTGGATATATTATAGAAGGGGTGTTACTTGAATAGAGGGTTTTCATTTCCATTTTGCCTCTGCCATTTGGTATAAATCTGGTTTAATAATTGAACATGTGTATTATCCCCATGTGAAAACTGGGTATTACAGGGTTTAAGGTGTGGGAGCTGCAGTTAATGTGTATAGTACTTTGCAGGCAAGGAAAACTTTGTTTGCAGGAAGTTTGTCTTTTGCAGTACCTGAGTGGGAAGACTACAGGAAAGAAGTCCAGTGACTTTTTTTTTAAATTGTATCCATGGTATAGGCTGCTAAGAACCAAGAGGAGGGAAGGGTATGAAAGAAAAAGGTTTAGACACTGCTACTTTGACCAAAAGACTGTAATAAATGCAGCGCTTAACTGCTCAGTGTCTGATTTTTGTCTGAGCTTCTCTCATCTTGTTAAAAAGTGTTTACTGTGGTTACCTGGTGTCAATCAAAGGTGAGGGGTTGCCTCCCTTTTTTTCTGCTTCACAAATTTGGGCTTTTTCTAGTTGCTTCAGTTAAACTATCTTTTAGAGTTTATGGGGGGACCGCAATGCCATATGATAGCCTGCGAGCTGTATAGAAGAAGGGGAAGAAAAGGTAATACTGGTTTTATGTGGCTGGGAAATTAAAAGTTGGCTGCACCTGGCATCCTTTCCTCTTCTTGCTAATACTTTTAATTGTAATGACCAGTGATGAAATATTGTCCACTGGATGTTCCTGGGAAAAGACCTGAAACAGAGGCTCGATCTATTTCTGCTGTGATGTGTTACATGAATACATGCTACTATAATAAGAGTGCTTTATTTATTTTAGACCTCAGCAGCAATTTCAGGGAACTCGGCCAGTACAAGTGTTTCCTCTTCAGCAACCAGTGGCCTTACAGGATGGGCTGCTTTTGCAGCCAAAACCTCCTCTGCCAATCCATCAACTGCCAAACTGGGATCAACAGCACAGAGCGCCAGTGGGAAACCTGCAGCGTCTTCAAATAACCAGAAACCAGTGGGTTTGTCAGGGTTGGCAACTTCCAAAACAGGACTAGGGTCAAAAATAGCTTCTACCAACAACAGCGCAAACCCTGCTCAACTGAAACCTCCTCCACCTCTGACGCTGGGGAAGACCACCCTTAGCCGTTCGGTAAGCAGTGACAATGTCAGCAAAGTAGGTCTTCCTAGTCCCAGCAGTACTGCACCGAGCACCAGCAGCCAGGTGAGCAGCGGGAATGGCAACAGTGGGACTGCGGGTAACAGTGGGGGTAGCGCCAGCAAAGCCACGGCAGATCCTGCGAATCAGTCAACCTCCCTAAAAGGCCCAACTTCTCAGGAATCTCAGCTCAATGCTATGAAAAGGTTACAAATGGTCAAGAAGAAAGCTGCTCAAAAGAAACTCAAGAAGTAGTATGGCTGCTTGCTAATTTTGTTGGTTGTGTTCTGTGAAACAGCAGCATTGGTGTTTTTCTTAAAGAAAATCCCCCAGTTACTGGACTGAAACAGTAGTTAAATCAGGGAAGCCCAAAACCTATGTTATACAGGAGGTCAAACTTTGATAATCCTAGTATTCCTTCTGACTTTGCAAAACTATGAGTATGTTGGAGGAATTCACTATTATATGCTCTAAGCAGTGAAACTTGAAATTGTAAAAGTTGATATTTTGGAGTATTAAAAAAAAAAAAACAAACAGATTTATGTGGACACTTAATAAATTGAACTTGCTGAAACTGTCATTCTTAAATGTTATTAATAAAAGTATTCTTAATCTGGGAAATCATTGCCGCTTTTCTTTCATCACATTTTCCAATCCTTAAAATGCTTCGGTTGTGTATTTTATGCAGAGTTAATGACATTTATCCCAAATTATACAGTTCCTTAGGGAAAAAATATTTTTTTCATTTAAACAATTTAAAAAATTAACTGTTAACATGTTCTATTTAAAGTGAGAATTTTAAGTGGCCTATTTTGGTTTTATACAGTGAGAAACTTCATGGGACATTTTGTTGTTGTAATTCTCTGAGGAAGGAGAAAAGAGTGTTGGCAGAAGATAAATGGCTCCTAAACTGTAAAAAGAGTGGAAGACAGCCAAAACAGTGTTTTCAAGCTTTCTTAATCTGTAGAGAACCTTAACACTGTCCTGTTGGATATGAATGGAAAATAAGTGGTAGGCAGTGTATATTTTAAGTAAAACACCGATTGAACAACATTGTTTTGATGATATGAGAGGGGAAAAATAGAAGAAAATGGAGGGAATTGTCTTAGGTGTCAATCAGTTAGCTTCCTTTCTGGCACACCTGAAACACAGAAGACTTTTTGATTACCTAAGTGTTCCATGATATTAAGTATTGCTATAAAATTCACAAGCCCCGCATGTGCTTGCCAATCTATCTTGGAAAATGAAGCCTCTAGTCTCTTAACTGTTCTGCCATAGGCTATATGATTATTATCTAAAATTACTGCTTTCTCATACAAGGAAGGAGCAAAGGCAGAAATCTTTGTAGTAGTTAGTGACAATGTTGGTCACTGTTCAACACTTCAGATGGGTAAAAAGCCTTTACTAGCTCTGTCACCTAGGTTCGAGGGGGGGGGGTGCTTTTTAAAAATAGGTCTATTACAGAGTTTTGAAATCAGTTGGAAAACCTTTTCCAGCAATTTCTGTAGGAGATAGAAACTATGTAAATACATGCGAGTCCATATGTTCCTTCATGATACTCAAAGTAGCAAATGGATTCTGGATATTCTAAAGGTTCACTTCCCTTCCCCTTCCTCTCAGTGATTTGTATTTTAGAGGGAACACTTTGCTAGTGCACGCTTTCCCAAATCTGCTGGAAGACCCTGTATTTGAATTTACTAGCAAGTGTTGCAGGACTTCTCCTAGCTGGATATTGTCATTGGATCTTTTGAGGCTTGTCTGTAGATGGGTTTAAGCCTGGGGAGAAGTGTTGATTTCCAGATGCAATCTGGAGAGAAGGGCCAGGACATGTTGGAGATTTAGAAGAGTCTTAAGCTTATAGGAAGTTGATTCCAATCTCCTGGCTGTGGAAGCATATTCACAAAGAAATGCTAGGATACAGGCATTACCCAGCTGTCTTACAGTACCTGTTTTATCCCTTAAGTTGTAGTTAGAGGAAAATTGCCACCAACTTGGAGGGGGAGCGGGTGGAAGAGGAATTTGTCTCTGTGCGTGGATATTGTTTAAACTGAATACATTCAATTCCCACTTCCATGGCCTTGGGTGGGATCAGCTTTGTCTCTTCCTTTTGCAGAACATAAGCCTCTTCCACCCCACTCCCAGCCCCAGCATGGTCTTGCGCTCAGCCCAGCTGCTGCTGCAGAGGAGGTTTGTAGGCACTGTGACCGACTCGGGAGCTTCCTGTGGAGCATCTGTGGCTTTTCCCTGCCTGGACCTAGCTCTTACACCCACAAACCTCCCTTCAGCTATTTCCACGGATCCTGCCAGATTCTGTTAAACCCTTTCAAACCAGCCACGCATGGATTACATTTAACACTTCACCACCGCAACTAAGACGGGTAGTTGAGAAAGTGTCAGGTCTTCCAGCTCTCCGATCGCACCCCTGAGCCGTTCTTCGCAGCTTGTGCTGCTTCTTCCCAGCTGCTCCAGGTTTTGTTCGGTTCTCAAGAACTGGCACTGGCAAAGGATCTCATTGCTGTCTGTGACCAGCACTCAGCACTCACGCCTTCTGTGGTGGGGGGAGCATCTCTAAACAGGAAAACATCTCAGACTTTTGCAGGTAGGTGAAAGTTACAGCTTTTCTTAGCCATCCTGTGTTTTAAGTACGTGTAAAGCTGATACATGTAGCTATTTCCCATACCTCTTTTCCCTTCTCCACTGTTAAGATTTAGGCTAAGGTTCCTTAAACATCCAAAGGAATAGCTTAATTTACTCAGGATTGCCTTAGCTACTTGGAGAATTTGCATACTTTTTCAACTATTATTTCCTGTGGAGGAAAAAAAGGAAAGGCTTTGTCTTTGTAGTGCCTGAGGCTTCCAGGGCGATTTAAAAATAACAGCATGAGGAGGAGGAACCCAGAACTTCTACCGCTTTTTGATCAGCCCATCTTTCTTCCGCTCTAGCACAAAAGGGTTTTAATGGTGGTATAGTAGGAAAAGACACTGAAGCAGTTTCCATTAACAAAGAAGGCATATCTTCTTCCTGAATGTTCATCAGAAGAATGTTGCCTACACTATAGAGTTTGAAGATAGATTCTTTTAGTGGCTGGAGTGCTCCTATGTAAAGTGTTCACTTTAGTAGTAAAACCTGCTCCCACAAGAAGGTTCAAGGTACTAGCTGCCTCTGTCTTGCCTCTGAATATACGTACAGTTTTGCTTGTGATAGTTCAGGAGCTTACATCTGAACTGCACGGATTACTTTAGGTACCATGTATGGAGTGAACAAAGGCAGAAAAAACTGATCTTTGTTTTTAAATTGTGGTAGCTGGTGGCATTTAAAATACCTTTGAGACCTGATTCAAGCATATCCTGATGTTTTTACATCTGTAACTCTGGCAGGGGTTGACTGTAGGTTATATCCTACTCATTTAGAATAAAGTAACTTAACGCTATACCTTTTATGCATGCCTGTCTTTTCCCTCTAATAAGGCCAAGACTACCTGGACTTGCTGGTATCACTGTATGAGCAAAATCTGCAATAGAGCTGCAATTTGTATTGGCAAAAGACTTTCTTCCACTGTAACTTTCCCAGCTTCCTAAATGAAATACAAAGTCTCCTTCTGTTGGTAATAAAAATGTCAGTTAGGATTGTGATTCTTTGAAGTACTATATCAGGAAGGATTTATAGCATAGACCTGGTCTTTTAAATCAAGTGTTTAGCTTGAATATGTAAGATAGGCACCGCTGAAAAACATGGTAGGTGGAAGGGAACAGTTGCTTTCTGCTTCAAAGTTATAGTTAGGATGGAATTAACCACTGTATTTTCAGGAAAGGAATCTGTTCTACAGGATGGTTTGACTGAATTTGCACGTCATGTTGCAGAATCTAGTGTAGGGCAGGAAGAAGGAAGGCCCTTCTGAATTTTGAGAAGCATACCTCATATTTAGAAAAAATACCTGGAAAATAGTCCTGTGATATTTTTTCTGTCCCAAAACCAAATTGCTCTGTGATTTACCATAAAAATAGCTACTTGACTTCCTTATCCATTTTATAAATTGGTATGGGAGTACTTTACTTCCACTAAAATACGCTGTTTTTTCATAGATGCCTGAATTCTGATACCCTTAGTAATGTGAAACGATAGGTTACTCTGGTTCCATGAGTGCTCCTTCTGGCTGGACTAGGGGATACCGGTAATATCTGGATCTAGGAGGAAAGATCTAACACAAAGTTCTGTTATTTATTTTAGTAACACAAGCTTTTATCTATTACAACTCGTGACAGACCTCTGGCTGGACACAGCAGTAAACAATGGTCACTACCTCAGAGGCAGCTAGAAAAGAACAGAACTAAGCTGACATGTGAAATCTTGAAGTGTATTTTGAAACTTGCTTAGTATTTTGATAGTTTGACGCATTCTGATAGATTGATAGATACGCTAGGATGCATACTAGAAATGCAGCATTTTATCTGAGGCAACTGTCTATTTCTTCTGCTCTGCTAATTTTGCACTGATGCTTTTTATAGTTCACAGTAGAAGGCAGCTCTTGTATAGCATATAAAGCTCTTTTGCTCCTGGAAAAAGTCTTGTTTAAAAAAAAGAAACAAACTTTTACAAAAATAGATTTTTATTATTACGATAATTCAAAAGTAGATTTTTTTCACCATCTTTGAACAAACAATATTGTAAGAGGAATTATCAGTAGTAGATACACAGGCACAAGGATTGTCATGGCTGTGTTTCCTATTGCAGGCGTCAGGGCTGCTTCATGTTTTTTTACAAGCTCTTTTAAAGTGACAGCAAACGTATACTTTAGTGTCTGAAGGAAGTAATTACTCAGTGAAGCTTCCTAAGGTGAAAAGTCAGAAGGAATATTTCTTCAATCTGTGTTTGCATTGAAAAGGCGAACCCTTACTTAAAGGTTCACGAGCACCATCCAAGCAGAGGGAAGACGGTGAAGCACACGGGTGCCAGAGGTCAGAGCCAGAGACTCTGTGCTGTTCATTGGCTTGGACATTTTCTGGATTCCAGGTTATCAATGGCAACACTTAAAAATATTCCTTGCATGGAGAGACACTTCAGTTTGAGTGGACCCAATCTTGGAAGTATTTGTACATGCTTATTGTCACAACAGTTCAAGTAAGTAAAATGCACATTTGAATAAATGCAACATTGGTCCATTAAACTGCAGCCTGTCCCTGCTTCAATCAAAATAAATCAGTTTTGTCATTAATCAGAATAAGAAAACTCTTAGAATATTGTAACCTTCTCTGCATTAAGGGAAGAGCTGCAAAAACATTGCATGTTCTTAGGAATTTCTAGAACCTTAACATAGCTCAGTTTCT